GTTATATCACCATTTGTTGGTGCTGTTGATGAGAAAACAAATGGTAAATGAAAATTATGATATGGTAATGTTAGATTATGACCATAATGATGTTGACCTAACCCATATAAATTTCCATTTTGAACATGTGTATATGTCAATGATAATTTGTAAAGATTAGAAGTAGGTGAATAAATAGAGACTGGATAAATGTAAGGTGAAAAACTAGTTGATTGTACTTGAATTAAAATAAGTCCATCTGATTGACGTTGAATTGACCATGTTTGATTATCGTCATTGAGAATAAATTTAATATTACCATTAATAAATGTATTTCTATTTAATTGTTGACAATCTTCTTTATTTACAATTGGTTTATCAGGAAGTAATGCTTGATAATCTGGAGTTTGAATAATTACATCTGGACTAAGACGTATTCGAATACTATCAGAACCCCAGAATTCTATTTGTAATTGTTGTTGTACTCCATTCGAATCTATATTTTTAGTAAATGTACAGGATGATGCATCATTACATGAAATTAATTGAAGGATAACCAGAATAATTAATTTATAAAAATGTTTATCAATGGTTGATATCAACATTGTCAATTGATTGAACTGAATAATAAAAAAAGAGAAAAAAAGTTATAGGTCACTCGCTTTTCACCTATCATATCTACCAAGATTATTTTTTCATTCCTGTGCAGTCGTGCAGGTCAAAGTATATGTTAATGAACGAAAAAAAACTGGTCATTTTTGTTCATAGTCAAGAACAACTGTTGTGAGATAAAAAGATCACCTTTTATCATTCCTTTTCGTTCTCGATACTTTACTTTGTACAGACGATGCAGAAAATCTATGCTTTTTTACTCTTTTAAAATTTAGTTTTTGATCGAAACAAGTCCCAACAGCATATTACTATCATCTGACAGTTCTAGTATTCGTAATCTTAACAAAAGATTAAATAGAGCTTTAAGGGTGTACATGAACTTGGTTAGAGAAGATATAATACTACGTGGATATAATATGTCACAAAAAATATATATATTCGTTCCCTTTCTTTCTTTTTATTAGTTAAATACTACTGATATTTATTATTCAATTTAAAATAAAAAGCAAGTTGTCATTTATCGAATAAATTCTGATGGGATTGAAATAGAAAAGTGATTTTCGCCATTCGCAAGAAGATACTCTGCATCTATTTTTCATTAAATTTATACTTATAAGATGTCTACAATCAAAAGGATAAATTCTTTTTTAGAACGCTATCTATAGGTCAACGGTTATGATAGGTGAATCGCTATCACTAATCAATAAAACTTTCCTTTCTTTTCTAGTAAAGTGTGACTATCCCTAAGAATTATCATATTATTTGTGCAATATATTTAATGAAAAATGATATTTGAAGAATTACCAAATGAAATAGTATATGAAATATTTGACTATTTGTCAGCTGTTGATCTATTGCTATGTTTTTTCAATTTGAATTCACATTTTAATAAATTACTTTATCAACAATTAAACAAAAGTCATTTCGATTTTCGACGAATATCAAAAGTAAACTTTGATTATATCTGTGAAAAATATATTTCATCTTTAGTTGATCAAATTACTTCAATTCATCTTTCAAATGAGGATAATACTCCAAGTCAAATTAAATTATTTCTTGCTCATGATAATTTTAAACTTAGACAATTTACTAATTTAAAATCAATTTCATTATCATATGTTCAATCCAAACAACTACTTGATCAAACAATGATTGAATGTTCTTATCTTCCTTGTCTAACACACTTTTGTTTAGATAGTGACGGAATTGAAATGGATGAAAGTGATGCAGAATATTTCGTTTATTGTCTATCAGAATTATCCACATTAATCTATTGTTATCTGGATATATCTTGGGAATTTGAAGTTGATTTTAAAAATTTTTCTCCGAATGAATCTTATATTAGCACATCACTTAAACATTTAACTCTTGGCACAGTTGAGTGTTCTTTAGGCTTATTAAATCGTTTACTTCAATATATGCCTAATCTTCAATCTCTCGAGATGGATTATAGGGATAATTATGAAGCTTATGAATTATTAATACCTAATCTTTCACTTAATCGATTAGAAGTTAGACTCTATGACACCGTATCTAATCTCAATAACATGCTGAAAACCATGCCTAACTTACATTATTTAACATGCATTCTACTTGATGATTATATAAATGGAAATCAATGGGAAGAAATGATTAGAAAATCTTTATCTAAGTTAAAAACTATTAATATTCAAATGAAATATGAACCACCGAATAACGAAAATAAAGAAGTACAATTAAATGAAATAGTTGAGTCATTTCGAACTGAATTTTGGATTAATGAATATCAACGATTTATTCGATGTAATTGGTATATTACAGATAAACAACATGAACCTAGTTATAGTTATGTTAATATTTTTACTTTACCTTATATTTTTCATTATTTTGATGGTTCTCATGAATGTGTTTTAACAAAGTCAACTTATCCATATGATAATGAACATTTAACATGTAATCAGATCGATAGATTACATTATCGATCTTCATATTTTACGGATTCGATTTTGTCTCGTGTTCGTATTAATAATATTCGATCACTTACATTATCATTTCCAATAAATGAACAATTTTTGTCAGTTGTTTCTAATCTTGATCAATTAAATTCGCTCGACGTTTACATAGATGAAAGAAAAAATCTTGATAATATTCAATCAGAATTACAATTTCTACTTGATCGAACACCTTTTCTTTATTCGCTCAGTTTTTGTCCATGGTCATCAGCCAATTCACATATAACATTCAAGGAAATTAGATGTGCTTCAGTTCGGCAACTAGATATACGAGGAGACCCTTCCTATAGCTCTTGGTATGTAAGTCCCAGTGTTTGTGAAAAACAATGTGTTCAACTGTTTCATTCGCCATTAGCTATTCAATGTGAAACACTTATTATCAAAGTTACAACTCGGCAAATAATACTTGACCTTGTCAATAATATGCCTAATCTTAAAGCATTGAATGTTATGTGTGGCGATGATGTTGGATCTTATGTAGATGGTGCCGAGCTACTAGAAAATGAACTTTTTAATTGGTTATATCGACAATTACCATCAACATCTATAATGTCAAGGGATACAACTAAAAATCGTATTATTCGAATATGGATTCGATGAACTTTATCTGATTCAAAAAAAAATGAAAATTAATTTTTTCTATTTTTTTATTTTAAATAAAAGAAATATATATTATTATTAAAATCTTCTTAAGAATTCCGTATTATTTTTTTTTCATAAAAATAAAACTATTCTACAATGTTATATTTGCAGTTGTCTGGCTCTTGGAATTTGATTCATAGTTAATGGTCTAACTGCACGATTTCTCCATCTCATAAAGAGTGTCTTACAATCTTTTCGAAATGCTTTTGATACAGCAAAATATGTATAAAAAGGAGAACCATTCGTAAGATAGAAAAGTGTTAATGTAATAGAGTTAAGGAAATTTTCAATTTCAGCACGTTCAGCAGATTTAATAACACTCATATAATTTGTTACTGCAATTTCTAGAAGAATAAATGGATATGGAATTGTTGTCAAAACATAAACAACCACTTCAGTTAATACCATCAATAATAGATCACGATCACGGTGATGAATTCTACCATTATGATCACCATTATTACCAATTGGTCGCACACGTAAATGTAGTTTTTCCATATTACGATAAGCTAAAAAACCAAATATACTCATTGAGATTGGAGGAATTAAACCAAGAGAAATTGCACTATATACTTGATAAATAACATAATAAACTCCAAATTCACTACATTTTCCATTATTAATTGTTGCTAAAACAGCTATATGGATAGGAAAAATATGCCAGAATAAAATCACGATTGCTGCAAGATAACGAGAAGTTGATGATCGATTCATGAATCTTGTATGAGCATCATCTCTTGTCCACATATATCTGTCAATACATGCAAGTACCGTAAGATATCGACTTGATTGATTCCATATATGTGTAACATACAATCGAAGTTTACAGAAGAAAAGAGACCGAGCTGTTGGATCACCATAATCAAGTGCATAAACATTTATTACACTAGTACACGTGAGCGATGCACTGTTTAAGATTGCTACACATAATAAATACATTGCACATGAATTTTTACGACGCTGATAAAATAAAATGATAATAAGAATATTTCCAATATTCCCTAAAATCACCAAAGTAGACATTCCATAACGAGTAATTTGGGCTTGTATAAATGGTAATATGGTAACTGTCATTATTATTTTTAACAATATTCTTCTTCTGTTTTGTAATTATGAACTAGAATGAAGACTTATAATATTATTAAATTTCTCATCTTTTATATGAAAGTGGAGCAAAATTTAATTATGTCTATCGTTTGTTCATGACATACATTATTAAATGACATAGACAAATTTTATCAGGTAATTACACTACTGTCTAATTCACAATAAAATACAGGTGAATATTTGACCTTTTGATAAGAAGCTAGATCTTACGCACTAGAAGCCGTGTGAGTCTTGGTGTGTAACTTATTCTAGAAGTTTTTAATAGTTTAGATGCGATTTATTTGGCTTTTGATAGAATATAGAATGATATATTTGAAATCAGGACTCAAAACTGAGTTGATCTACATAATTTTTAATGTTCTTACAGTATTTTCATTTTTCTCT